TTGTTGTTATGTGCCGTTGAGTCAGCCCCGACTCATAGCGACCCCTCCTTGGGTTTCCGAGGCAGTATCACTACGGAAGTAGGATTGCCCAACCATGTTATATTCCCTTTTGCCTAGACATACCTGATCATTCAGCCTGTCTACCTACCTATTTGGGAGCTCTGGTGGTCTAGGCATTTGGGCAATCTACTTCCGTAGAGATTGTTGTTGTTGTATGTGCCGTCAAGTCGGACCCGACTCATAGCGACCCTTCCTTGGGTTTCTGAGTCAGTATCACTACAGAAGTAGATTGCCTCAACTTCCTTTCAAGGAGTGGCTGGGGGGTTTGAAACACCAGCCTTCTGATTAGCAGTCAAGTGCCTTAGGCACTATGCTACCAGAGCTCCTGCCTCAGAAACCCACGGGAGGGGTTGCTATGAATCAGAATTGACTTTACCACAGTGAATTTTTACCTATCTATCTACCCGTACATTAATATTTGTTACTACTGATAATACAATATTGTGTGTGTAAAAGCGTTTATCTTGTTGTCTGTACCTCTTGTGTACCTCTACGTGTCTTCCTTTCTTTATTGATATTGTGCTAGTCACACGCTTTTGATATATTGCCTTTCCTTTCACCCAAATCAATACTTGTTTCTTATCTGTCTAGAATTTTCCCTCCCATCCTTGGTAACCAACAAAGAAAGTTTCCTTCCATTATGTAAACCTTTCTTACACTAGTGGACTAATACAACATAAAAATTTAGAAGATCCTTGTTAAAAAATTTAAGGCTCAGGAAAAATTTAAGGCTCAGGAATCAAACAAATGATTCATACAACTTAAAGGGCAAACTCCCCACTCCCCCAAACCTTGATCATGTTTATCAATGACATTATATAGAAAGTCTTGGATTCGTCCAGATGATGTTTTGTACCGTTGATGGTAATGTTGCTTTAAGATAATTTCAAACTATGGTTAAAATATACATAGACCAGATGGGGAATCTGGGCCCTTATACTAGAATAATAAAAGAAGAAGAATATTAGAATAATAAAAGTCCTTCTATTTTTAGTTATCAAATATTATTGAAAACCTAAAGCCAGAAGGCTGGCGGTTCAAACCCACCAGCCACTCCTCGGAAGGAAGGTTGGGCAATCTACTTCCATAGTGATACCGCCTCGGAAACACCAGGAGGGGTCGCTATGAGTCAGGTCCAACTCAATGGCATATAACAACAACAACAAAGCGTAAAATACACTTTAAAAATCTATAGTTTCCCAACAATAAACTTGTAAAAAAATCTTAAATCCATGTAGTATGTTGTTGATAAACTCTACTTCGTAGGCTGAAAAAAAAAAAGCTGTAATGGGGTAAATCTAGAAAGACACTTTTTTATACATACCTATGAAATGTTTTATGGTCATAAAAATGACTCTAGAAATAGGATTATTAAAGTTATTCCAAAGCTGGCATTATTGTTTGTATAATACAAATACAATACAACCTGCAGATGCATTTCTTTTATTATAGATACAGTGGTGTTGAGGGAACAACTTTGAGTCACAGACTCTTACTATCATTAATAACCCTTCTTCATGGCCAATCTTAGGAAAATTTGTGAAGTAGTATGCTTATCTTCTTTAAGATTGTTTCACCTTCTATCCCTGTCAGCACCCCAGGTCTACTTCCATTCTACGATTTCATCCCTGCCCCTAGACTCTTAGGGCTTCTCTTAAAAATATTGTCCTGATAAACCATTGATCAGGGTAAATTAGTTTATGTCCAATCTCTTTCAGAGGTCTTTGCATTAAGGGGAAAAAATAATCCGTAAGAAATACCTCACCCTGAAGGGAAACATTTTCTAATGATAAATTTTGAGTTACCAAAACATTTGGTTAGGGAGTTATTTGGGTCAGTGACTTCCTAGCAAAAGGCTGGAACCAGAAGGACATCAGTAGTAATAATTGCGGGCCACTGGATTTCTCAAATTTTGAGAAACCACTTGTGCCAAAATCACCAAGGGTACTGTTATTAGTAGTAGTAGTAGTGGTGGTATTTTAAAAGAACATATTCCTGGCCCAATACTAGAGTCATTAATCAGAATTGCCAGGAGTGAGAAGCTTAGAATTTAGAAAGGGAAGATAAATAGGTGAACATACACCAAAAACCAAACCCACTGCTGTAGAGTCTATTCTGACTCATAGCAACCACCATCGGGTTTCCAAGGCTGTAAATCTTTATGGAAGTAGATTGCTTCACATCTACCTCCCAGGGAGCAGCTGGTGGGCTTGAACTGCCGACTTTCTGGTTAGCAGCCAATGCCTTACCCACTATGCCACCAGATCTCCTTTAGGTGAACATACATGAAGTATTGTTATTCCAATTTTGGAAGTCATCAAATGATACCTTATAGATAAAAGCTGAGGGTATAATTGGCCTATCAGTGTCCACTGTGTGATGTTAGCATAGATATTTTATTTTAAATTGATGGCAGTATATTAGGAATCTCACTCTTACACAACTTCATCGTTTGATCTTACCGGGCACTCCAGCTTGGATCCAGTAATTAATGTCTGTGCCTTCCCCGCACCTGAAGACTTGTGTGACGTTGATGGGCTGCAGCAGGTGCATGATCTCCTCCATTATGGCCCTGGCCTTGTCACTGCCAGTGAACTGCAGCCCAGAAGGGAAGAAGGTTCCCAAGTCTGACTCCATCACCAGGCTGTAGTTAGAAACATTTGCCTGAACAAAAGAGAAAAGTGTTTGGTTGACAGTGGCTAGCTTCTTTGCTTTCTCCTTGGGAACTATTAAACAACAACACTCATAACCAAATACTTACTCTCTCACAAGTTGTTGCCAAAACATATGTTGCTCTGCCTGACTTAGGGTCTGGTCTGTACATTACCTAACCCTTCGGAGATGCACAATTACTCATCCCAGGATTTGCCAAACTCAAGAGTTGATTTGGAAAGACTCAAAAAATATAATGAAGGGAAACAGAATGCACCATATTAAAGTTGCTCAATTATTTCTAGTAACAATAACATTATTTCAACCATTTTTCTTAAATGTCAACCATGTAGCAGTATTCAGTTCCTCCTCTATGGCAGGAGATCTGATAGTGTTACTCACCGTCAGAGAAAAGAAGTATGCTCTATGGACCTGCTTCTCTGCACCTTTCCCTCTAAAGAGACATTCTATTGTATTTTAATTGTGAGTTCTGCTGAAGCTTAAAGGCATCAAACTGACAGGTTTGTTTTGGGTTTCTGATTTTGTTGTTCCATCTGTTGAATCTCCAGGGAGGGATGTAAGAGAACAAGACATGAAATACTGCTCTCCCTGGTGTAAAACCACAGCACTCTCATCCCAGGCAATTTTGCCAGGCCACTAGTTTGTAAACTCTTTCTAAATGAAGTCTGGTAAGAAAGCACACAATGATACATGTAGCCAACATTGTCACTGCGAGAGCTTAGAATGTAAGGCATTTGCTGGCTGCATGGCTGAACTTACAAGGTTAATGCCCTTTAGGCTGGCAAGGTCATCTGTTTGCCAGGAGCCAACCACTTGTTCAAGAATGACCAACCACCCCCAAGGTTGAGTTATTCCTATGATATCCTTGGACCGGCACTGCCGCTCATTCCTCATTATTTATCTAGTAAAAATCAATAACATTTGTATAGTGCTCCCAGAGAGCATTCCTATTTCCAATCTCCTTCGACCTTCTTTGACATCCCCATAAAGTAGACAAAGGATGTGGTTTCACAGAAAAGGAACTGGATCAGAGAGGTCAAGTGATGTGCTAAAAATCACACAGTTGGCAAACAGTAGAGTGCTGTCTGAAATCTTATGCTTTCCATTATTAGTGTGGCACTGAAGTGGTAAGTAATACTTGTCCTGAATTAGAATGATTTTTCACGTACATAACTATTTGAGCATTGCACAAAAATAATTTTCCCCCCTAAAACGGATTCCATTTTACAGTGATTTCCTATCCAATGGCTGTGGAAGCCCACTGTTGTCACAGGGCAGGAGCAGCTGCCGTTCTAAAGGCAGGTGTTCCCAGCATTTGTAGGACTGAACGCTGTGGTCCTGGGAAACAGCACCATTTTTTTTTTTTTTTTTTGATTCTTAACGATGAGAAGGTTAGTAAAGTAGAAGTCTGCTCATATTTCCCCTCCCACTTTTAAGGCATTTCCGTCTTCATGGTGATTTTCAGAGAAAGACCCAAGGTGTTTATAATAAAAAGTACCACTGCAGCTTTCACCTGTGGCTACTGCATGGTGCTAGCATCATTAGAGTTAATAACATGCAAAGTATTTGCATTAATGTGCTATATTCAAGGCTCGTTTACCTAGTGCATTGATGCTAGGTCAGCAGGTTGACATGTAATTTGGCTGTCCTACCCTCTTTATCCTTGTGTGCTCTGCTTCCTATTCCAGCTCCCTACCCCTGAACTCTCCCTCTTCTATAGAAAGGAGAAAATACAATCTCAATAGATCTTGAAAATGGACACAGAATTGAGTAATCTTGAATGTAAGGGTTCCTATGTTGCAGGTAGATCTTGTCTTTCCAACAAGACAATTAGGCAATGCTCCTAACTATGCACTCTTTAGGTTAGATGTGGAGCTATTTAGCAGTGTGGCTGCCTGAGCTAACACTAATGAGCAGTCTGGTAGGATGGACACAGCCCTGGACCTACTTGGTCTATTTCCAACTCAGCAAATAACACACTGGACTACTGAGGGCAATGACTGGATCTCCCTCTGTTTCCAAGTCATGTCACCTTGGCCCTTGGCTTCTCCATCTGTAGGTTGGGACAAATGCTCTTTTCAAAAACTCACATAAGGAGCCTGTGCACATGAAGTTTTGAGCTCCTTCAAAGAAAAGACCTTTGTAGACCAACGTGAAAGTGATTTTATAAATTCAACTCAACAGACCTCTAAACAAAATATTCATTCACAGTTTCCTGGCCCTCTCCAACTGCAAATGAACAGGTATCTTAGGGACAGGGGACTCTACAGTTTGCAAGTGCCCCTGTGCAATGTCACAGAATGTTGATAGGAATGTAGAAACTAATTTAAATAAAGGAGCATTCAAAAGTGTGGTAGGCTTTATATGTGAGAGCCAGTAGAGTAGAGAGAGAGAGTAGGTATGGGTTTTGGAATTATACAGAGTGGGCTTGTTCAATTAACCAGTTACTAGCTGTGTGCCTTTGGGCAGTCTGTGTAACTCACAGTTTCTGTCTCCATCAAATGGGGATGACAGTGATACCCACATCAAGGAGCTGTTAGACATGCTGCTAAACACAGCACCCCTGTTGTTACTGCTCTTAGCACTAGACATCAATACCTCTCAAGTTTTCAAGGATCGTCCTCATATAAAGCATCCTGTTATAACAATGAGAGGTAGAATTTTGGGGGTGCTTCTTATAGGCCAGACACTGTGCAAAATGCTTTCTTTACAGCTTATCCCATGGAATATTCAAAAACATTCTATAAGTGTTATCAAAGCTCTCACTTCAAAGATGAAGCAACTGAGGTTTAATAAAGTTAGCTAACTTTCCCAAGGTTATTTAGCTAATAAGTGGTGTAGCCAGAATTCAAACCCCAGAGGTCTGCCTCCCCCAGCCTGTGCTCCCAACCCCTACAGTACCCTGTCTCCAGAAAGACTCCTCCAACGTCAGGCACAAGTCCTCACTTTGATTCAAAAAATAGAGAGACTGTAGTGGAACAGATGTATAGACTTAAAAAATTACTTTCCACAATATAACACAAGGTCTACTTAGAATTCATTGTCCTTGCTAATAAAAACAATTTGATTAAGAAAGGAAGAGAAAAACAAACCAACAAACTGGCTCTACAGTATTCTTCCAACTAGGAATAAATAGCCTAAAATAATAAAACATCTTTTCAAGCCAAATTAGACAGGATATGCAGATATCAGTAAAGCAGAATTCTGGCTTAGGTAAAGAAATGTTTGATTTCTATTCATATAGAATTATATTAGCTGCTATTAACATGATGATAGCATTCTTTTTTCCCCCTGTTTTTATATAAACATCTCCAGATATTTTCAATAAAGAACTAAGAAAACCAACCACCCACTGTCCAAGATACTACTTTTCTCCTCAGTTACGATCACTATCTAATTCTTAGCACATGGTAAAGGAGTTGAGTGAACAAAATGTCACTGCATAAAGAAATAGGAATGATCAAGCAGAACTGGGCTATTCAAACCAGTACTTCTTAAGAATGTGTTGTCAGGCATATGAGGTGAACATTTATACTAGGTAGATACACTCGTTGGAGAGAACAATCATGGGAGAATAGAAGGGCTGTGTATGCACAGGGAGACAGCTCCGGGGGCAAGAGTGCATGGAGGGAAGGATACAGAGAAGAGGTAACTGTGGGGAGGAAGTGGGAGGGGAGCTGTTGCATTGTGGTAAATCATAGTCAATGTCATAAGACAAAGTGTATGTGAGCTGCTGTATGGAAAGTGAATTTGCTCTGTAAACTTTCACCCAAATCACAATTTAAAAAAAAAAAAAATGTGTTCTCACAAGCATTCATGGTCCTTACTATGTAATGAGTCATTGGGGGGGTGTACTCAGTGTAGATCTGAGAAGCTGATTATAGCTGGTGACAGCAGAGTCACTTGGTCCACTCAGTGCTGTAGCACATCTTAAGATACGGCAATGTGCTTCCAGAGGCTGAGGACTTTGTTGCTGTGATAATCACCACTGATTGAGACACACAGATGAAGAGGCAGTGCAATGAGAAGCTCAGATATGATCTGTAACTCCCCCCCCCACACACACACACACTTTCCTCTCTTAATAAACCCTCTCTTTATTAAAAGTCAGGTCTAATGAAACTTCCTTCACTGCCATGTAATGTATGCAATGGAATGAAGACCATTAGGGAAATGCTCCCTAGTAGCCTCCCAGGTTGGGAGAACGGGATTAATTTGTATCTGCTCCTGGCCAAATGTTCATAATTTGGTCTTGTGTTCCAATCACATCTTGTAACATTTCTTCCTTTTTTTTCTTTTCCTTTTAGAGGGTCAGCTCATTCTGCCTACGAACAGTTTGGTAACCATTAGCATTCTTTGTGGGCAATGCAAGATTAAAAAGAAGAAAAGTGTTGAAAATACATGTCGTTTGTTATAAATTCTTCCTAACATAAACACAAGGATGATGTTTGTATGCTTTGCTTTTATGAAGTAAGAATAAGGTAATTTTTGTTTAGAAATACAGCCAAATTCAACAATATACACTCTCTCCTTAAATTTGGCAGCTTCTTCTTTGTTTTAAAATTTTTATATTTTAAATAACCAAGGTGACACACCTTTGGTTTTGACATAAAGTAACACTGAAATCCCAAAATCAAATGAAGAGAAAGGAGACTCCTAATTATTTCAATTACCCATGTCACCCCCTCAATTCAGTCTTCAAAGAGGTGAAGTCTACCCCGATACAGAGCAATCAGAACCACTTTCTTGCCCTAGTAGATGTTAACGTTTTACAGATGATGGTGGGGATTCTGTTTAGTCAGGTGGTAGGCTTAAAGAAGTTCTCAAAAGCAAATTGTCTTATGACATGTGTGCTGAGTCGCTGCAATCATCTTTTCCAGTTGTGGCAGTGACCCTGGAATTCCCAGGCCAAGGGGTGGGAGGAGGGTGGAGATCCTTCACAGAGCTCAAACAGGGAGAGGTTTCTCCCTATTGTGTAAAGCCAAAAGAGG